GAGAGAGAGAGAGAGAGAGAGAGAGAGAGAGAGAGAGAGAGGCAATGCTTTTGCAGTTTCTCAGCGGGCTGTAACGATAACTGGGGCATTTTTGTAATTTTTTAAAGCTCTGGGTCCTAACTGGTAACTGAAACCAAGCCCGAAATGATTGGGACCGTTCTATAAAATCCCTAAACTATAGGAAAAGGGGTAGTACTGAGCCTAAAACTTGGTTTAGGCCTAAATGGACTGCGGCACGATTATTGCTAAACTGTTACGGATGTTAGACCCATATCACTCCAGTTGGGGAGATGAAATTTCGCGTAGCACCACAGTCCAACAGTGGCTTAATCTGGAAGGGTCCGAGCAATATTCGTTCAAATTGCATGCTGTTTTTCTCCTTTAGCTGAAGGTGAAGGGAGCAAAGCTGATCATGTTCTCCTGAGATAAAGGCTGCGAACAAAGAGGCAGGTGCAGCGGACTCAGATTCAGGCTGAGAGACTAATCCATCTTCAGATTTCGATGAATTCAGCTGAATGGGGGTGGTGGCAGACCCTACTGACCCGTCTACAGTCTTCCCCTGAACACATCACACCCTTATTTTGGCTGTATCTGGCCGGAAATATAGCTTGTATACATTCATTTTTAGGGTGCGTTATGTTCGGGGGAAGACGGTAGTTTTTGGAACTGTTATTGCCCCGGGCAGGACGCTTTTTAGCGAAGTGTTGTCTGCACACATGAGACCCCATCATCCTTCCTCTTCTGCCATACACCTTCATTGATCCTCAGATCTCTCCAATGGAAGGTGGAAGGATCCATGAGATCTCTCCAATCTAAGGTGGAAGGATCCGTGAGATCTCTCCAATCGAAGGTGGAAGGATCCCTAGGTTAAGCTGGGCATTTGGCAAACTTAGGCAGGCTTTGCTTTTGTGGACCATCAATGTGTTTGTCTTGACCCCCAGGATTGGAACCTCTCTGGTCCTGGTACTGGGAAGAGCCTTTAGTAGAGCTCATCCGTGCCTGGACCAGTGCTTGGAAAGCTTGGTTCAGGGAGCCCCATGCACATTGACCAGCTAACAAAGTCATGCCTCCGTGGCCAGAGTCTGTGGAGTTCTCCGGCAAACAACCTCCCACTTCCCTTCTTCTGGCCTTGGGAAGCGGAGTTGGTTCCCTGTTCAGAACTAGACTGAACTTGGACGGTCGCCTCCTTGTCTAAAGCTGCCCTGGACCACTACCTTCAGTCCTTGTAGCTAGTGACATACAGGGGCCTGGCATACCCTTTGGTGCTGGTGCCAGGATAACCGTTTTAGCTCGTCTTATTCTGATATGGTCAGAAAGGGATTAGATGTTAGAGATTCCTATTCAGAGTACAGCGGAGACAAGGATCCAGACCATTTAGAATGGCCAAGTCTGACTGTCTGATTAGCCGCCTTCTGGGGGCTCCTTTTGTCTGTGAAGCTTTCCTTCGGGTGTTGAAATAAGGTATTGAAACATACTAAAAACGTCCAATCTGCTAGTTGCGTGATTAGCTTGGGAAGTGTGGCCCGCTTCAAGGCAGAGCCACCAGGAAGTGCTACTGTTGTCCTCACCTTGTCCTCTTCAGAACAGGGGAAGCCCTTAAACCACCAGTACCCTACGAGCCACCTTCCCGAACCTCTTTTCGGGGGGGCCACCAAAGCTCTTTGTTTTATGTGAATGGCACTGAACGCAACTGGTAGAGTAGCGGGCGATCGGTCGTTTAATGTGGGCGCCCGGTACTTGGTATTTCTTCCTTTTTCCGCTTGATTTTTATTTTCCCCTGTTGTTTTTTCTTGAAAAAAAGAAAAATCAGTGTTGGGCAGTTGTGACTGAGGAAAGAGCTGCCAATGACATTGGTGGCAGGCCGGAGGGCTTCACTCCACTACTTACCAACTGGGCAAAAGTGGAATGAATCTTTCGCTAGAAACAGTCGAAATATACACAGCCACGATTTTTGTCTCTTGTGCATGTGGTGAGCAACGGAGCCAGGCTCCAGGCAAATCTTGTAGGATGGGGGGCCTTGCTGACTGCCCGCCACATGCACAAAGACAAAATTTATGTGCTGGTGCTGTCTTTCTTTTCCTTTTTTTTTTTGTGGGACCATATCTCTATTCATGCGTGTCATCCGTGTCCAGGGCCATGCTAATCTTCTCTGTATCGTTTCGAGTTACGCAGCAAAGTTCATTCTCATGTGGACCGAGTGTAGCTGCGCTGTTGGTTTCAGGACGAGTGGCCTTGCCCACTGCCCACTACGTCCAGAAAAGACAAACTGTGTGCTGTACCCTCCTTGTTCTTTTCATCCTTTTTTTGACCATATCTCGCTTTATGTGTGTCATCCTTGCCCTGGGCCTCTGTATTGTTCCAAGTTATGGCACAAGATGCATTCCCACTTTGAACAACTGGAGGCAGTGCAGCTGCCCGACCTGCTCGTTTTAGGACTTGCAGCCCATCAAATGCTCCATTTTCAGGGGCAGTATGCGCCGTTTTCGGGGCAGGTTCCTACCCCCCCCCGCCCCCCCCCCCCTCTTGTCTCGGATGTTACTGCAAAAAAGTAGATCCATAACTGTAGGTTAGTGCTAAAAATATACATAGAGCAGGAATGATATTTTAGAGGTCTTTGGTTCATATTGTTTCTTGATGCCGCCAGGCTTCTGGAGCAATGTTATAGTTGGCAGCCGTTGCTCAGTGTTGGGCGAAGTAGTGAAGCCGGTGCTTCATGTGCTGGCCAGGTGGCATCTATATTTTTGTTGTGGGGGTTAGGCACTGCCGTATGTACTTGATCTGGGGCAGCAGTTCTACTTTTTCTTCCAGCTGGAGGCTCCTTCATCTCAGGTTTCTGAAGCGGCACTGCTAGTCTGTGCAGTGGTCTTGGCTGGGCGCCATGGTCAGATAGGTCGGAGATAACTCAAGTGATGCTGCGATAATGAAGGAGCCTCTGTAATCTTGCTGAGCTAGCGTTTCAAGTTTGTTCAAGGCGGTTTATACTCGGTTGTGATTCTTGGCTTCATGTGTGAGGCTGGTTGAACTTGGAGAGTTGGCGAGAGACTTTCGACTATTCATATTCAAATTCTTCTTGGTTGTGGTGATTCCGCTGTGCATATTCATCTTCAGTTTGGTGTGAATCTCTCTTCATATCGTCTTTGTTATCTTTGTGTGTGTATGGGAATATGGTGATACTTTGCGGATATGCGATTTCCATGAGTCATGTAGCAGGCACAGTCACACGCACACACACACACACACACACACACACACACACACACACACACACACACAGAGAG